GCGTTACAATTTTTGTACGCTTCCTTGGAGTAACGTCCATCACAGACAATAGCTGTAGGACAACTAATCGACAGTCAGGACAATAGTGTCTGGGAGTGATAAAAATCTGATGTAATCCCGGATAACACAATGTTTTTCAAGGCCAAACAAATTTCATCACATACCCCAAAAACAGATTCATATTACTGCACACCACTACAAATTACGTAATCTGAGATTTAAAAAAAAAATAGAACTCAATTACACCCTGTCACTCCAGTGGGTCTAAAACTGACCATATGGGGAAAGGAAGGAAACTAAAGCTGTTGTTTCAATTAATTTGCACAAGGGTATAAGTAACAATAAAATTTTGCTTATATATTTAAAGGTTTCAAAAATTTAAAGTTTAACATAGCACCTACATCAAGCAAGTTTGATCATTCTTGAAATGACCCATCAGCTTCATATTTCATATCTGTATCATTTACTATACAGCTGTGGATTAAACAGCAAGGTAGACTGAGCTCTCTAGCCTTGAATGGCAACCAACCTAGGAGAAGGACAACTCTGAATTCAAAACCATGGAGTAGAGAAATCACTACATTATATTTCCCCAAGAAGTCATGGTAATTTACAGATAATAAAGAAAATCAACTTTGGAAAAAAACATTACATAAAAAAATACTAGTGCGATATATTACCAATATTATCATCATCACTACTTATATTTTAAGAATATTTTACTCAAGAATATATGGTAATTACCAGATAATAAATAAAAGGAAGCTGTGGAGAGTCATCGTCAGCTACCTCCTGAAAGGACATGGTATTTCAATGTGCTAGTAACATCAGTTCTATTATAGTCACAGAAAGGGAAATCAACAAACCGATTTCAAATTTCCACCTAGTTAGCTGCATTTACTTTCACACAAATTCTCTTAGAAAAGGTATGAATTTATCTGTTTAACTCCCCACCAGCTATGGATTAAATAGTGGTGCTCTAGATATGGGTGTCAGTGTAGGAGAAGGTAAATTCTGAATTCAAAACTGTGGAGAAGGCAACGAGAAACCACATTATCTGTCCCCAAGAAGTCATGGCAGTTCACAGATAATAAATAAAAGGAATCTGTGGAGAGCCATGATCACCTGTTTTTTTTTTTATTTTTCTTTAAGTGAATAAATATAATTCTCAAACAGATTTTTTAATCCAACCTTATTTCTTATTGCCATAAATGTTATTTTTAGTGGGTCTGCATATTTGAGTTGTTACTCCCGTTTTTTATTTCCTAAAACAGTGAAATTAATAACAACCGGCCTAGATCAAGAAAGTCTTACTAAAGAAAAATGTGCCTCCTGTCAGGAAACAAACTCAAACACGTGTACCCATTATGTTTATATTCATAAGAAATACTGCATGACTTTATTTTTTATATTTATTGTTGTACCTAATATATCACTATATATATCTCAATAGAAACCCCTGTGTAAATTTTGTTTATATTTTGCAGCTTTTAAATGGTTTACCTATATTAAGCAAGTTTTAACCTGACATAACTCATTTCTTTCAAGTTCCAGTAACTAGTTTTTCTGAAAACTCGTTTTTCACACCAGTTGATATATTTATTTAATTACGCCTTCTTCCATGAATTCAATGACATGAAAAAGCACTTCTCAGATTTGATATGATTAAGGGCAGTAGCAAAAATGCTTTATTAATATCTAATACGTGGTAGCACAAAGTTACAAGTCACCGTAACAGAGGGTTTGAGCATACTGATATAATTAAAATTGTTGATCATGTCATATTATGCACTCTGTCCGAGAAACTGTACTTCAGGTCTGCTCAACATAGTTGCAGGATAAACGACAGGTGGGATCTGCAGGTGTTGGACAAACATGAATATACCTGAGCAGATGCCTGCAAGAGGGATTAGCAAGCCACCCTAGCGTACGTGAGTGTTCAGAAAATGAGTAGCTAGTCATCTATCTCTTCATATATATCTCCAACTTGATTTTGACCACTCGGCTATGAAGAGCTTCATAATCAGGCAAAGTTCTATCTGACTTTTAAAGGACACTTTACTTTGAAAGTCATAACTGCTCAGTTTCATATCCAAAATGTAAACAAAACAATTTCTAAAGAAGTATTGGATTTTTTAAAACTTTATCAACCCGACATATTTTTATTTTAAACGTTATTTTTAGTGGATACTCATATTTGAGTAAACGCTCCCTTTATTTTAAACATTTTATTCTGTCTACCAGTCTGAATCTTCAAGAAATCTTATTATCAAAAAATGCACCAACCGGCAGAATTTGAACCTGCGTCCAACTTTGCAGGAGAACCCATTCTTTGACCCGTGTGCCTGACTGCTCAACTACAAAAAAAGCTTAATAAAAAAAACAAGGTTTTATCTGCTTTTAAACCACATTTATTCAGATCTCTTTGAAAGTCATAACTGCTCAGCATTGTATCACAAATGTAAACAGAATTCAAAAACATAAAATGATTCAAAGTAATAAAAATATGGCTTTCTTTTCTTTATAAATGATAATATAACCCCTTGTGTCTCAGTGGCTTTATTGCTTGTCATGGAGTGAAATAATAATAAAAAGTCAGATTAATAGATAAATAAAATCCATTACAAATACAAAATTGAGCAGTTATGACTTTCGAAGAAATCTGAACGAGTGAGTGTGCTATAAAAGGCATATAGGTTAAATTGCATAAAATCAGGGATAGAGTGTATGTAAATATAGAATATAGTTAGCAAACACTATAAAATAGATATAAAATAACCGCATTTGAATCCACAATTATTTCTAGTCATTGACCACTAGAATAATTTGAAACATAATCATTACTGTCCACCCAGTAATCGTTAGGATAATACAACAGACCATCTAGTCATAATGCACCATTGACAAAAATATGGAAATAATCGAGCCAATACACAACACACATGGCCTGAAACAGAATGTCACAAATGGGCTTTGACATCAATGATCATTTTTATATTTACATACACTATCACAGATATTGAGCACTTTTACCCATAAATATAGCATACCTTAAAACTATATCATTATATATCTCGTGGACTCTCTCATCGTTGATTGATACAAGCTATTGAACTGCACCTACCGGGGACTCTTTTACAATGTATGAGAGTCAGGCAACTCGGTTCCGAGGAAATGACAGCCAGACAACCTGCACATATGATTTGATTATAGTGGTGACGGTTTTGTGCAGAATCAACCACACTTTTTGAAGAGCCGAATGCAGAGATCTGATGCACCATGTGCCACAAGGTCAACAAATGACCCACCGCAGATTTTGAATTAAGAGTTGTCCTTCTCCTAGACCAGTTGCCATCCAATGCTATAGAACCCAGTCTGTCCTGCTATTTATCCATAGCTAGGGGGAGAAGAGGATTCATACCTTTCCCAAGGGTATTAGCACGTACGTGAATGAAAAAAAATGATACGTACTCTCTCTCTCTCTCTATATCTATATATATATATATATATATATATATATATATATATATATATAATGTGTGTGTGAAGCTATCAAATCATTTTTTTATCAGAGAGTAAGGAAAAATCTTTAAACCAATCTCAGTCAGTGCAAATATTTGTTATTTGGCAACTAATTGGTGTATTGTCTTTTCTGCTCAACTAACAACAGAGTTAATCTGTAAGCATAATCTACTATCTTTTTTTTAAGCGTTTCATCTCAAGCAAGGCGGGAAGCCACTAGCAAGCAAGGGGTTACAGAGAGTTACAGCAAAAAGGAATGATAGAGGAAAGGATGAAGAGAAGGATCGGGGATATATCAAGGCAGCTGGAGACGTTGATTGACATTACATTTGAATAGTTGGAGATTATAGCTATCAGGGAAACAGGAAAAGGGGAGGGAGTTCCACAGGCGAGAGGTGCGAGACATGAAACTATTGGAGTAGAAGAGACGGCTACATTTAACAGTTTCGACAGTGAAAGGGCGAGAGCAAAATGCCAGCCTAGTTGAACGATTAAATTCATGAAGTCTGGGAACCAGCGAAAGCAGCTCCTCGGAGCAGTTACCATGAAAGTATTTGTAAAAAAGACAGAGGGAGGCGATGGCACATCTGTGTGAGAGTGACTGCAGACGAGATGCCAGATCAAGGCCAATTACATTGCATATCCGTCTCTGGATTTTATCAAGAACCTTGAGACAAACAGAAGGGGCTCCAGACCATATATGGCAGCAATACTCCATGCAAGAGTGAATGGTTGATTTGTAGATTTGAAGGATCGTCTCCGGCAAGAAAAATTTCCTGGTGCGGCACAGGGAGCCAACTTTCCTTGCGGTGGATGAAGCTATAGACTCAATGTAATTGTTCCATCTCAGGTCAGCAGTCAAGTAGTCGCAAAGAGTTTCTCTCAAGTACAATAGTTCTATTATTTATCATTTTAGATGCCAGATAAGCCTAAGTAGAATTCTTCAGAAGGTCGAGAAAAGAATAAGATGACATATATCAGCTTCTTCTTCTATGCATCATTTCCCTACATGTCATAGGTGATCATGGATCTCCAAAATTTCATCATAATTGTTTCTCTTAATTTTCTCTTTTTGTTATCTCTCCTAAACCTTTTTCCACCATCCATTTAATCAAGCTCTCTAGGTACATTATGCACTGTTTTTCTCTGTCCTTCTTACCTTTAATAGGTCTTGTGAGTATCAAATTTTCCAAGTCTTATGATTTTATATTTATTCGTTTTCTATGGCTTACCAACCCTTTGCAGAAAATATTTTTAGATTGTAAAAAATGCTAGGTCTTTTTTTTTTTAATAATAATAGTTTAGTCATACAAGTATTACTAATTAACCCATAGCTGGGTGGAGAGGAGGTGGAGTCATACCCTTTCCAAGGGTATTTGCATGTAAGTGAAAATAACGAACCCAACAGAAATTAGAACTTTGTTCTCTGGTTAACAATTCTGTGTGATTATCTATTACACCACCCACACATCCAAATTTACAGCACCTCGTATTCCCAAGCGGTCACTCATCTAGGTACTGACCAGGCTCAACGTTGCTTAACTTTGGCGATCATATGGAAACTAATGTTTCAATGTGATGTGGCTGTAAGGATTGGAGAAAAGAATAACATGTACTGGCTGCTGCTTCTATGCGCCATGTCCCTTCAGAACATTGACAATAATGGCTCTCCACAATTCCCTGTCATTCGTAGCTTTTTTGTCTTTTTGTTATCTCTCCAAAACCTTGCTTCACCATCTCAAGCTTGCTAATTAGGTTATGTGCTGATTTCTTTTATTCCTCTTGTCTTCAATATGTCTTGTGAGTATCGAATTTTCCAAGTCTTCATGTGGGCATGAATATATAATTGATATTACAGATATAAATATTTAATTTTCTAGTGAGGAGAAAATTATCAGTCGATTATCAAAACTAAACAGCAATAATTTGAATGTTATAAAATTTCATTTCAAAATACACATTCTACAAATAGTCAAAAATACAATGAGGTACACCCTTGTGCAAATTAAAACAATCACTTTAGTTTCCTTTCTTTCACTATACCGTTTATTTTTAGACCCACTCGAATGACAGGGTGTAATCGATTTCTGTTTTTTTCCTCAGATTAGGTTATTTGCAGTGGTGTGCAGTAATATCAATCTATTTTCGGGGCGTATAATGAAATTTGTTTGGCCTTGAAAAATATTGTGTCAGCCATGTTTGCATCAGATTTTTATCACACCCAGACACTATGGTCTTAACTGTCGATTAGTTGTCCTACAGCCATTCTCTGTGATGGACGTTACTCGAAAGGAAGCATACGAAAATTGTAACATTGCACACACTGACAAGCCTTACCAGTGAGCAAATCAAAGTACTATAGACTGGCCCGGAAACTCTCCTGATTTAAATTAAATTGAGAATCTGTGGTCAATCTGCAAGATGTGACTTCATAGAATGGACATATGAAGTACTAACGTGTGCACTGGGTCATGTTTCATTGGAAAAATATGAAAAAAGTAAATAACAGAATTATTTTGTTTCAATTAATTTGCACAAATGTGTGACACACAAAAAAGGAATGTTCTTTTTTTTTTAATGCTCCAGTATCTTTGAAAATGTTATTGAGTTCATATTTGTGTGCCCCAATTTGGTAGAAATTTGGTAGAAATTGTTGTGGCAGTGAAGTGAAGAAAGATAATTGGTCTCCTTCACTCCACTGCCACACAAATTAACACCATACTATGACACATAAAAAGACAATCAGTAACATTTTTTTTTTAATAAAAATACCCATAAAAATGTCAGTTTTCCTATTTGAATTTTCTGATGAATCTTAATTCTTAATTTAATGATTGAATAAGCTCATGGTGAATTAAAAGCATATTTTAAGGCCAACATTAGCAACTTCAAGCCATTGGCTTATGATCCTATCATTAAAATGGCCTTAATTTAATAACATTGAAATAGCAATGAAAGAAATGTGTATACACCAGAAATCAAAGTAATAATAATATTTACCAAAAGTCCTCATTTGCACTTCCCATTCATAGCGTAGACTCCACGGAACCACACTTTATCCATGAAGGTCTAAGTAGTTACATATGTAAAATATTTATGGAGGTGTGGATGATACCCTTTTCAAATTTTCAAGAAACAAAAGAAATGATTATTGACTAGAAAGACTCCTAAAATTTTCACGGTTTTCCTATTTAAATTTTCTGATGAATCTTAATTCTTAAGTTAATGATTGAATAAGCTCATGGTGAGTTTTACACAGAAGCAGAGTTACATTTTTGTTGGTCTTGAAGCTTGAACAGATATGGGGGCTCCTGCACAACCAGCAACAAGGATCCAACTGCCAAAATGAAAGATATGAATAGATTCTGGCAAGCTCAATGAGCCCAGACAGGTGGGGGGGGGTCTAGATGCTGAAAGCCCATAAGAAAAGTTTGAAATTTGCCAATTACAGGGAAATTTTGAGGCCATATGAAATAGGAATTAAGAGCATATTTCAAGGCCAACATTAGCTACCATTGGCTTATGATTCTATCATTAAAATGGCCTCAATTTAATAACAATTTTAAAAAAAACAAAAAAAAACATTGATTTTGTTGAAAAATCCACTCATTCAAAAAAGTTGCTTCTGGGATTAGGGTCTTTGAAGTTTAAGCTTCATTAGTTTCAAAATAGGTCCACCATTGATTCTGCAACAATCAAATATCCGTAGAAATTTCTCGATTACACCATTAAATATCTGAACTTAACAACTTTAACAAAATATTGCAATAACAATCAAAAATATTAATGCTGGTTGTTATTTAAAAAAAGTACTGAAGTACAAATGAAAAGAGTTAAAATTAATGACTTTTCCATTTTAACTGAAGCAGACATGAGAGTTTAATTGCCTCTTCTAGCTTTCTTTCTTTCATTCTTCCTTTTTTTCACTGAAGCTAAGTAGCATCTCCAATATGTCTTTTCTGTCATTCCAGGTGATTAAAAGAGAATAGTCCATTATTTATAAGTTATTGTCAGGGCATAACAAATATATATGGTAACTAAGGAACTAAGGGAGGGACAAGCAGGATTATAAGATATTAATGTTCAGCCAATACAAGGCCCAAGAGCCACTCAATATAAAGGGGTTCTGTGTGGTGTTGTAAGAGTGTAAGAAAAGACGATAAGTTCATGAGGTTCTGTAGAAAAGATAACAGTAAACTCTAGGCTTGAAGTCGTCAAGATTCTAGTGATTGAGAAAACATCCTGCTGGGAGTTTGTTCCACAAAGCAGCAAATTTTGGGGTAGAAGCTATCTGAATGGAACTTACTTATTACTATTAAAATACAAAAGGAATGGGAAGGATTCCTCCTTGTGTATGTGGAATGGAGGGTCCCAGTGGTAAATAACAGAGCAGGAGTCTAAGGAATGTACATCATTAGAACACATGTCATGGAAATAGCGATAGAGAAGTGAGAGACTTGTAGCATTTCATCTGTGGGAAAAGGGTTGTGGGGGGTGAAAAATATTTAATCCCCCAGAAGACCATTTAGACACTTTTGAACTATCACAACAGGCAAGTGAGGTTTTGGGCAGCTCCAGTCCAAATATAGCAGCAATAATCCATTTTTGGTCTGAACTAACCAGTGACATGCAGCATATTGGTGTTGCCCAGGGCCAATGCCTTGATTGTATGCCCCTAAGTAAGGGAACTTATAGGGTCTAGTACTGAGAAATGTGATAAAGGAAGTCATTTTAAATATGTAAAAATTTGGGTGAAAACAGTCTATGAAAAACAAACAACTAATTATGTTAGGTTGATTAATTTGATATCAACCCTTCTTGAGTTATTTAAAGTTTTATGAGACAAAAATCACAAAATAATATGAGACAAGCCTTCTTGACACTAAATTTATAAAGGGTAGACACAAATTCAGTTTATACTAAAGTCTGCACTTGCAGAAAGTAGCCTCCTTTTGCACATCCCAAGACATATCTAATTAGTGTTAAAATAAATTTACAGGTCTTACCAACTGTTGTAATTGGCTCATATCAAAGAAGCAATCATATGTTGTTATTCTTAATCTCTTTCATGCATATGGGTTATTGAACTACTCCCCACATTTTTTTAATTTTTTTTTTTTTACATTCATTAAACAATTTAAATATCCATCAATATTTTAATCTGTTTATATCTTAATTCTTCTTTTATGTGCCTTCAGGATGTTGGTGATCATGGCTCTCCACAATTTCCCGTCCTTTGTAGCTCTTAATAACTTTTGTCTTTCTGCCATCTCTACCAAACCCTACTCTGTCATCCATTCACTTAAGTTTTCCAGGTAGCTTGTGCCTTGCTTTTTCCTGTCTCTCTTGCCTTCAATATGTCTTGTGAGTATCAAATTTTCCAAGAGCTCTTTCCTCATTACGAGCCCTAGAAATTTCAATTACTGCATATACTTGCACATCATGCAACTTTTGAAGACCTAATTTTGAAGCTAATTTTAAGAGGGTCACATCATACATGAGATATAAAATTAGTGTATATACTGTTGACCCTGGCTATACCATTGACGTAACTATATATCCATTTACTGTAGTCAAAAAAGTATAGCTGTATTTAAAATAAACATTGTGTGTTACACAAGTATATACAGTATCTTTCTGATAAGTATAAGAGTCCTTTTTGTTTCCATTTTCTCTAAGATATTTTTGTCGCTCATATGTTTAGTTCATTGTATTCTCAGCAACCTTCCTTAAAACCATGTTTCTGTTGTTTCATATCTCTTCATCTGTGAGGATTTTCCAGTATTCACCGCTGTATAGATATAACATTATGCACCAGTTCAGTATTCTCTTCTTTGCTTCCAATGAAATTTTCCTGTTTCTTAATACCTTGCTTAACTTTAGGAAAGCATCTTTCACTATCCCAATGTGCCTTCAGATTTCAGTGTTGCACTTTCAGTTTTCTATTAAAACACTTTCCAGAACTGCTGTACCTGCATGATTTTGGTATCTCCAATTTTTAAACTGCATGTTAGAGTTGTCCCTTTTGCTAACAACCATGCATTTTGCCTTCTTGCAATTGATGTTTAGTCCTTTCTTCGCATTTTCATTTACTACATTCTGTAGGTGTTCTTGTAGTTTCCTTTCTATGTCTGCTATCAACACTGTGTCATCTGCATACCTACAATATGTTGCTACAATCATGGCTGCCAATTACAAATCTTGGCAGGAATTCTAATTCTCTCAGAATCTTCACACTGTATAAATTAAATAAATCCATTAAGAAGACACATCATTGTCTTACACTTTCTACTTTCATATATTTACTGAATTCATTTTCTATCCTTATGTAAGTGGTTTGTTATCCATATAGGTTCTGGATTATTCTAATCCTTCCCAAATATCTCAAGGTCACTGCACAGTTCCAAATTTTTTTTCATTTAATTAAATTTATTAAGAAGAGAGAGATTAATTAATTCAATGTTTTAAGAGAGAGATTAATTCAATATATTCTCTAATAAATTTTTTAGAAGCATTTCAGGCAAAAATATTGAAAAAATAAAAAGGAAACAAATCAACTGCAGTAATTAGTAACAATTTAGTAATAT